TTTGAAAATGAATTTTTCTGAAGAAGAAATGGTGAATATGGTGACGGCGCACCTGCGCATTATCATAAACGTGTGCGCAGATATTTGGACACCTGGAGTAACAATCGTTTAATTGGTCGTGATGGGCCTATATCTTGGCCTCCTAGATCACCAGATATGACACCGATGTACTTCTTTTTATGGGCTACGTTAAGCAATAGGTTTATAGGTATTCACCATCTACCCCGCAAAATATGAAGGAAAGGATTAAGGATGCTTTTCTGAACATAAGGGAACACATGCATCGGTCATTTATCCAAAGACTACGGCTATGTATTCAACATGGTGGAGATATTTTCGAGCAGTTTTTGTAGATCAGGTCTTGAGTAGTGATAGTTGTTTATGTTTTTCTTATAGTTGTTTGGAACTAGCCCACTGTTTGTCTTTTGTTTCGATGGATGATGTGGTTTTTTCCTTAATTTTGGTGTGTTGTTCTATTAAAAGCTTAATAATTCAAAATCTAGTGATTTTATCTGAGTCAAACCCTATATTTAAAAAAAGCTTATAAATTTAATCCAAACTTGCACAAATGCAGGGTGTCCGCAAAGTTGGAGTTTTCCTTTTCAGAAACAACTACCCTTGAAATAACAAAGGTAATGTGTAGTGAAACGAGGGCGACCAAGAAAAAAAATAAAGGAAAAAGTACTCACCCTCCAGTTGACGAGAAGGGCTAAGTACGTCTCTGCCCGAAATCATACCGCTCCAACAGAAAATGAAATCAGCTGATGCGCTACCGAGCAGTCGCAGAAACCACATTGATTGTCTTACACTTAATGGCACATCTTCTAACAAGGAAGGCAAAATGTTGCGTAAAAAGTCTAGGTATTGCATCCCGTCCAATCGATTTGGGAGAATAAATGGTCCAATGAGCATACCGTTCACCATTCCAGCCCAAACATTCACCGAAAATGTTTGTTGAAAATGTGCCCGAAGGACAGCGTGCGGATTTTCTACTGACCAAACATGAGTGTTGCGAGAGTCATTCACCCCATTACGCGTGAACGTAGATTCGTCTGTCACCAATATGCACTTCAAAAAAGTCCAGATTATTGTCATGTTGATGCAACAACCACTCACAAAACCGCACTCTTGCTGGTAAATCGTCAGGTTGAAGGGCTTGTAGACGTTGAGTGAAACGGATAGAGCCCCTCTTCACGCAGCGTTTGTCACACTTTAGTTTTTGATACTTGCACTTCTCTAGCCACGTCTCTAGTGCTTGTTGAGGGATTCTCGTCTACGCGATTACCTCTACACGCGTGACCGTAACCGTCGATTGAAGGTTGCATACTGACCTGACACACTGACCCCGACCCAGTTCTGTCGTCGGGTTGAGACAGTGACCTTGTACCAGTCGGTGATGTCGCGGCTACAGGACGGTATTCAACTATTTTTGATGTTGCAGAGCCCCTTATCTCGGTTCCCTTAAGACATTGGTGTATATGGTACTAAGAAAAATTGCTTATGTTTTGAAGATCTACACGTCGTGTAAAGGAAAACCCCAACTTTGCGGACACCCTGTATACAGGGTGATGCATTTGAAATTTTTGAGAAAGAGTACAATTTGTGTTTTTGACTACCCTGTATGAGCAAAAATGAAAATTCGAAAAAGTAACAAATAAGATAAAAGCTGAGGTGTGTCAGTTTTTTTATACAAAATTCAGCACTCCAAATTTCAAAATGACGGACTGAGGGGATGCCGAAGTGGGAGGTTTTTCTAGACAATTATTACGCATAGTGTTAAACATTCATGAACACATTTCATCAGAAAATATCCAAACCAGGTGAAAGTTTTGCTAATGCGAAAATAAGCTTACTATATACGCGTCGACCAAACATTTTTCATTGATTCAGTGATGCCAATACAAAAAAGCGTTGGTACCTTAAATAATATTGCCAACGACATGGATTATCCAGAGACAACCATTCCATGACATTTTAAAAAATCTGCCTACTGCATCTCGCCGATATGAAGTTCTCTGCTGATAGACAGGCAGACCGATAAAGATGAGTGACGTGCTTTTTAGTGATGAGACATCCAAAACACATAATATCCCATTTTCAAATATTTTCGTGATTGCTGTCTCGCCAGCCGGCATGTGAAGTAAAATTAGTCACTTTGACATTTATCTCAGCAGTTGTACTGAAACAGAGCACTTGCCAAACGTGATATCCTAGTATGATTCTACTATAATACGATATAACGACCACAACCCTTTTAATTTTAATTTATCGAGCTTAATGGCTAACTCAACATTGATATCACCTCGTTTAGTAGTCATACATGTCAGACTGTTTGCTCTTTTGAATTATTTGATTTTAATCTAAGGGGCCCTAACGAATAAATATTGCCATTTTAGTGGAGGTTCCCAAGAACCCCTGCAATCCCACACCATGTGGTCCAAACAGTCAATGCAGAGAGATAAACGGACAAGCAGTATGTTCTGTGTACCAGGATACTTAGGCAGTCCACCCACCTGCAGACCCGAATGTGTGACCAGTACTGAATGTCCACTGAATCAAGCTTGTGTAAATCAGAAGTGCATAGACCCTTGTCCGGGAACTTGTGGACTGAACGCTGTATGTCAAGTAGTCAATCACAATCCTGTGTGTAGTTGTCCACCAAGGTTCACTGGAGATCCTTTCACAGATGCTTGCCAACACGTAAGTATTGTAAACATTGTAAATGCTCCAACATTTAAAATATCGTATAAATGACACCTGTTTCGACCATCAATAATAATATACTAAGTGACATATAAATCCGAACACCAGTTTAAATGGTTTTATTTTAATAAAAGTTGGTGAATGTATTTATCTTACTGTAAATAACAAGTGAAAAAATTTTCAGCCTTATCAGTTGGATATTCCGGTTTTTATACTGTTTTTTTTAATTCACTAACGCTCTGAAAATGGAATATTTCAGCCGCAGTAAGAATCAACGTTGGCGGATTTTAGTTCTTGACATCCTTCACGATCGGTTACGATGCCTAGAGTACGGAGACCTGTACGATTTCGTCAACTTAGTGAGTTTGATAGGGGCCGTATAGTGGGACTTCGGGAAGCTGGACTTTCTTTCGGACAATTGCAGTTAGAGTGCAAAGAAGTGTAGACACTGTGGTTAGGTGTTGTCAGGCATGGCTTCGAGAAGGCCGTACGCAAAGAGCAAGGGGCACTGGACGCCGCGTAGAACAACAGACCGTGAAGATCGCCGCCTAAGATTATTGGCCTTAACGCACCGTTTCTCCACTACCAGGTCCATTGCAAATGAATGGTTTGCAGAACACGGAAGACATATTGGCATGCGAAGTGTTTACCGACGAATGAGAAGTTTTGGCTTGTTTTCATACCGGCCACACTGGGGTCCTCCCTTTAACTCGAGAACACCGACGTAATCGCCTTGAGTGGTGCAGACAACGGTCACTCTGGGATCAGGAATGGAACAGTATTGTCTTAGTGACGAGCCTCGATTTGTTTAGGCATGCACGATGGTCGTGAAAGGGTTAGAAGGCGACGTGGTGAAAGGAGGAATCCACAGTTTTTTGTTGAAAGATATGTTCATCACACTGTTGGAGTTATGGTTTGGGGTGCTATAGCTTATGGTTCCAGGTCACCTTTAATCTTCATCAGAGGTAAAATGAACGCGCAGCGTTATATCCACGAAGTTCTAGACCCCATCTTTACCCTATTCTTGACCCCCTAGCAGATCCAACTTCCAACAAGATAATGCCCGACCACATGTTGCAAGAGTCACAATAGACTTCTTTCAACATAATGATGTCACATTGTTACCATGGCCACCAAGATCTCCCGACTTATCCCCAATTGAGCACGTGTGGGATATGATGGGTAGGAGATTTGCTCAATTTGCAACGTCCTCCTTAGACTCTAGAAGCACTTCGAGAGGAGTTGGTGGTTGCCTGGAATGAGATACCACAGGAGGACATTGACCACCTGATCAGAAGCATGCCTAGGCGCGTTGGAGAATGCGTAGCACATCAGGGTGCATCCACACATTACTAAAGGTCAAAGGGCTTTAAAGCAGTGCAATCATTTTGAAATTTTTATCATTTACTTATTATGCTTCATTAAGTACTTATACAAAATTTTATTAAAATAAAACCATTTAAACTGGGTGGTCGGATTTATATGTCACTTAGTATACAAAATCTAAAAATGACTTCTTAATTTCACTCAAATAAAATGTGCATGTCATCTATTCATGTAGTTCTGGAATACACATGAAATTCTTGGAATCATAGAGAGTTTATAATTCAATATCCTGTTCCAAATGTAACATCGAAAACGGAGATTTAATAAAAATAATCCTAGAATGATTCAGAGATAGCCTCTTGAGTTTTTAGAGAATACCTTCAATTTTAGATTATGTTGTCAGGAATTTAGAGCTAGAGGCTAAGCTGATTCCTTCAAAAATTTCTATAAAAATCATTTCCAAGTTCGTTGTCGTAAATGAATCACATGTCTTTTACAAGAAGTATAAAAAATTGATTAGGGTCTATATTTTTTAATTTGAGCTCCAACTAGTATTTTAAGCAGTCCATCTTTGTATCTATGTGCTCCAGATTATGTACCAGAATGTTGAGTGACATTCACAAACATCACTTCAGGGTCTCTCGATACTTAACAAACACTGGATGGTTACTTTGTTTCATAGTGTTAAGCAATGTTCGTGTACTATCAAAGTTGTCACCTAGTTGACAGTGGTTGTTAGCAAAATACTACACTACTTCAAAGGAAAATGCCAAAACCACAACCAGTTCATTGCAAATTTGATTTGAATTTGTCAGATTATGACATTGCCAATTTCGAGTACATTAGGAAGCACTTGTGGGCCACTTCATTGAGGTACTCTCAAGTGTACTTATGAGTGACTCTAAAACAACTTTGCCGTGTTTAAATTATCTAGTTAAAATCACATAACAAATTTTCCTATTCTTTTTCAGCGGAACCAGTGGAAGAAATTCCATCAAACCCATGCGTACCATCACCTTGTGGCCCAAACTCTCAATGCAAGGAAATCAACGGATCGCCTTCATGTTCCTGCCTGCCAGAATTCACAGGTTCTCCGCCAAACTGCAAGCCTGAATGCATCAGCAACAGCGAATGCCCGACCATTTGGCTTGCATCAATCAGAAATGCAAAGACCCATGTCCTGGTATTTGTGGCCAGAACGCTGAATGCAGGGTGGTTAGCCATACGCCGAACTGCGTCTGTCAACCTGGATACTTTGGGGATCCATTCACTTTATGCTCAATCCAACAAGCTGTTCAAGAAGTACTGAACCCTTGCCAACCGTCACCATGTGGAGTTAATGCAGTTTGTAAAGAAAGGAACGGTGCAGGGTCTTGCATCTGTCTTCCTGAATACATAGGAAACCCTTACGAAGGGTGCAGGCCAGAATGTTCTGTGAACTCAGATTGTTCATCGAATAAAGCTTGTGTGAGAACAAATGCGTGGATCCTTGTCCTGGAACTTGCGGACAGAACGCAGACTGCCAAGTTATCAATCATTTACGTCTTGCACGTGTATACCAGGATATACTGGGGACCCATTCAGGTTCTGTTCCCCTGAACCGAACGTAAGTAGTCACAATTTTGTATAATATCGGGTTTTCCAATAGGGACTTGACAACTTTGAACTTTCACTGTGAACGCACCTTTAAATCAATTACCAACTGTCAATGTCGAAACATTCAGTAAAGAAAACATTTTCATCACGAAACGAACAACGCCTAAACTGTATCCATCGAAGAAACAAAGTAAAATCAAACATATACACCCGTATTGCACGTGATCAAGAACTTAACCGTAGGAGACGCTACAGGGCCGTATCAAGCTATTGTGACTGATCTATCAAAAATGTCGTACAAGATATGGTTGCTGTAAATTTTATCAAAAGCATAGTAAATTATCAGGAATATACCACGCCTTTCTAATCATATTTCGACATTAGGAATCAGTGCAAAAAATTCTGTATTCACCATTCATTCAATTGAAATTGTTCATATTTTATTATTAACTTACATACATACCCAATAATATTTACAAATCAACCTTCTATTCACAATGCAGAGCAAATTTTTTTGAGCAAATAGAAACTACAGACGTAGTAGTAGTAGTACAAAAGTTTATTACAGACTCCATAAAGTTTGTTAGTTTG